AGTATAAATGCACAGCCACGCGCGTTGCCTGCGCCGTGGGTTACGCCGGTCACCTGACGCAGAAGTATAAATCAGGCTTTAGACTGAAGCAACAGAACCAACCCATTAGAGAGAGAGAGAGAGAGAGAGAGAGAGAGAGAGAGAGAGAGAGAGAGAGAGAGAGAGAGCAGGAACATCAGAAGTGGCCAAAACAACTGTGTTGAACATTCTTAAACAGAAAGAGCGCATCAGTGATTTCAGTGACACTAAAAGACCCGGAACAACTGTGCTGGATGACTGAAGAACTCTCTCCCTGGTGAGGAAAACACGCTTCACAACAGTTGGCCAGATCAAGAACACTCTCCAGGAGGCAGGTCTGTGTGTGTGTGTGTGTGTGTGTCAGAGTCAACACTCAAGAGAAGACAACACCAGAGTTAACATGTAACCCGGCCGGTCCTACATCACCCAACCTGCTCCGAGCTGGTATCGAACTGGCGACCTTCCGCATGGCCATGACCTCTAGCATCTGTTACTAGAGCACCTTTAGAGGTCAGAGGAGTGAGGTTTACCTGCACAGCACACACTAGCTGGCCTCCGTTACAAACACAGAGCGTTCACCACAAGATGTAAACCATTGGTGATCCTCAAACACAGGAAGGCCAGATTAGAGTTCTGTTAAAGCCTTCACAGTGCTGGAACAACATCCTCTAGACAGAGGAGATCAAGATCAACGTGTTCCAGAGTGATGGGAAGAGGAGAGTATGGAGAGGAGCTGCTCCTGATCCTCAGCAGTGCAGCATGGTGGTGGTCGTGTCATGGTGTGGGCATGTATGCCTGTCAATAAGTACTGCTTCTCTTGTGTTTATTGATGATGTGATGCTAAAAAGCAGCAGCAGGATGAGTTCTGAAGTGTCTCAGGCAATATTCTCCGCTCATATTCAGATGTTTTCATATATAAACATATTCAAATGCTCCAGAACGAATGCTTCAGAGCTGATGGAGAATGACCCGATGCATACTGCAAAAGCAAACGAGAAGTTTCTGAAGGAGAAGTGGAATGTTATGCACTGGCCAAGCCAATCACCTGACCTGAACCTGATTGAGCATGCATTTCAGACAAAACTAAAGGGGAAATGCCCCAAGAGCAAGCAGGAGCTGAAGACAGCACCAGCAGGACTGAACCCAGCGTCTGCTGATGTCTCTGCGCTCCAGACTTCAGGCTGTAATCCACTGCCGAGGATTTAAACCAAGTATTCAAAAGAGAACGTTTGATTTGATTATTATTCTGACTAATTACTTTTGGACCCTTAACAAGTGGGAGGCACAAATTCGCTCAGCATTCATATTCATCAGCGCTCACCTGATGTGGATGTAAACAGCCTCAAATTAAAGCGGACAGTCTGCAGTTACAGCACATCTCGTTCACTTCTTTTCAAATATATACGTGTGTATAATATGTGTGTG